AAGTAATTTTGAATTATATTTAATGTGTCTCCAATACTCTCACACACAGAGGTTTTCAAAGTAAGCTGTTTAGTGAAAACTCATCTTGTTTACCAATCAATGAGTGGGATTGCCTACTTAACTAATAATGCTCAGACCTGGTTTAACTTGTTGAGACCTCCCATGATGTGTTGCATTTTTGTTGAATGTAAAATTTAGTCAATATTTGCGTGTTAACTAGCAAATGGTATCTGTAGGATCGAGGACATTAGGAAATTATTGGTTAAGACAATATGATTAGACATTTAAACGATTATGGTTGTATGTTGATTAATATAAATATGTACAATATTTTCTTGTGTGTGTATGATCAAAATAAGTCATGTTTTACAATGAAATAAACTTATCCTGAAAGCATCTATTTCCCTATCAATTTTTCTTGAAACGCTTGGATGCTTGATGCATGCAATAAATGCAGTTTTTGTTTATGTGTGTTTCTAGTTGAGATACACTTCTTATATGGTGTAGAAACACTAGAATAATTACGTTTTTTGCTGGTTTCACAGGTAGATGAAATAGCAACTCGAAAGGCTGCCATGACTGTTGAAGAGAAAGCATTAAGAGCTCGAGAAGGAAGAATATCAAAGGAGAAAATGCAACAGCAGAATTTGAAAAAGTAAGAATCATATCGTACATCTGGTTTGAATACCAATTTCAATAGACCATCTGTGTAAACACTTCCTTGCACCTGGGGCAGGGCACAGACCCTCAACACCCGGTTGGGAAATACTAATACCTCTTTTGTCTAAATTTGTGTTTTGTGTTCGTCAAATTGGTTATTTGTTAATCTGACACAAGCCTACTTATCTATCAAAATAAAATTAGCATAGGGTATGACATAATTTTTACCAAGAAGCGTTTTTGATTCACTTCTACACCTGTTTTTTTGCTGCAACGAGAGAGACAATACTTCATTTCACCTAAATGTGGGAGAACGCTAAGGATTTTGTCAATTTCGATAACAGTGATATTGATTAGGATGATATATTGGAAGAGAGACCAGAATATGTTGCTGCCGAATACAGGAAAGGGACTGTGGGCAGGGATATGTTAAGCCACAGTCCCACATCGGTAATTAGCTGGATTATTCAATAGTATACACTATGTATTGAGTGGTGAAATACTTCTTTTGTTTTTGCATTGGTTTCTAGGGTGAAAGTATTTATCATCATTTCTAGAAATATTGTTATAAACATATTGAATTGTCACTGCTTGAAAAATGGTGTAAATTTGCATGAATCATGAATTTTTCTCATTAAACACACTCTTTGATGCAGAGTTCAGTTGGATGAGGAGGCTTGGAAGAGAGATACATCAGACTTATTGCAAATCAAGGAAGGGAAAACCAAACAACTTTATAGGGAGAGAGGTACATCGTTAGAGAGATCCAGATCTGCAGCTAGAGCATCTGAAGATGTCAGAAACAGAATAAGAGATGAATATACAGGGTAAGAACCTAATACTTCAGTTGATTGCCATATAAGGTGTTGTTGAGTGCTGTGAGTAGTTGATTGCCATATATGGTGTTGTTGAGTGCTGTGAGTAGTTGATTGCCATATAAGGTGTTGTTGAGTACTGTGAGTAGTTGATTGCCATATATGGTGTTGTTGAGTGCTGTGAGTAGTTGATTGCCATATAAGGTGTTGTTGAGTGCTGTGAGTAGTTGATTGCCATATAAGGTGTTTTGTTGAGTACTGTGAGTAGTTGATTGCCATATATGGTGTTGTTGAGTATTGTGAGTAGTTGATTGCCATATATGGTGTTGTTGAGTATTGTGAGTAGTTGATTGCCATATATGGTGTTGTTGAGTATTGTGAGTAGTTGATTGCCATATGTGGTGTTGTTGAGTACTGTGAGTAGTTGATTGCCATATATGGTGTTGTTGAGTATTGTGAGTAGTTGATTGCCATATATGGTGTTGTAGAGAACTGTGAGTAATTGATTGCCATATATGGTGTTGTAGAGAACTGTAAGTAGTTGATTGCCATATATGGTGTTTTTGTGTAATTGATTGCCATATATGGTGTTGTAGAGAACTGTGAGTAGTTGATTGTCATATATGGTGTTTTATTTTAATTGATTGCCATATATGGTGTTGTAGAGAACTGTGAGTAGTTGATTGCCATATATGGTGTTGTAGAGAACTGTGAGTAGTTGATTGCCATATATGGTGTTTTGTTGTAATTGTTTGCCATATATACCGTTGTAGAGAGATTTAAGTAGTTAATTGCCATATGTGGTGTTGTTGAGTACTGTGAGTAGTTGATTGCCATATATGGTGTTTTGTTGTAATTGATTGCCATATATGGTGTTGTAGAGAAGTGTGAGTAGTTGATTACCAAATATGGTGTTGTAGAGAACTGTGACTAGTTGATTGCCATATATGGTGTTGTAGAGAACTGTGAGTAGTTGATTGCCATATATGGTGTTGTAGAGAACTGTGAGTAGTTGATTGCCATATATGGTGTTTTGTTGTAATTGATTGCCATATATGGTGTTGTAGAGAACTGTGAGTAGTTGATTGCCATATATGGTGTTTTGTTGTAATTGATTGCCATATATGGTGTTGTAGAGAACTGTGAGTAGTTGATTGCCATATATGGTGTTTTGTTGTAATTGATTGCCATATATGGTGTTGTAGAGAAGTGTGAGTAGTTGATTGCCATATATGGTGTTGTAGAGAACTGTGAGTAGTTGATTGCCATATATGGTGTTGTAGAGAAGTGTGAGTAGTTGATTACCAAATATGGTGTTGTAGAGAACTGTGACTAGTTGATTGCCATATATGGTGTTGTAGAGAACTGTGAGTAGTTGATTGCCATATATGGTGTTGTAGAGAACTGTGAGTAGTTGATTGCCATATATGGTGTTTTGTTGTAATTGATTGCCATATATAGTGTTGTAGAGAACTGTGAGTAGTTGATTGCCATATATGGTGTTTTGTTGTAATTGGTTGCCATATATGCCGTTGTAGAGAACTGTGAGTAGTTGATTGCCATATATGGTGTTTTGTTGTAATTGATTGCCATATATGCCGTTGTAGAGATATTTAAGTAGTTGATTACCATATATGGTGTTGTTGAGTACTGTGAGTAGTTGATTGCCATATATGGTGTTTTGTTGTAATTGGTTGCCATATATGCCGTTGTAGAAAACTGTGAGTAGTTGATTGCCATATATGGT